AATCTCAAAAAGATTTCATAATATTTCTTTTATTACCTTTTTTTTCGTTCTATGAATCAAGAATAGATTGAAACATAAATTATCAAAGTATCAATAAAAAAACAACGAATTTGCACCCTATTTCACACTGTCATTTTCCAATATGCAGCTCTCTATAATGGTATATTTTTTATTTTTATTCATAACGAACTTTGTCAAAAGTAGTGTAGTCCATACATATGATCTTGCATCGCAAATACCGTCACGTTTTGTATGTATGTTTTCTGTCAGTTGGTTTGGTATTGGTTCATCAGATCCTCAAGGAAGAGGACCAGATGCTTATTCAAGTCATTGGAATATTGGTAGTCAAGGTTCATGTGTTTCTGCAGCTCAACCGGATCAATGTGGATCGGATGGACAAAGAAAAATATCGTCATATTATCGACCACTTGCTGGTATTTATTCATCAAGTGGATTAGATAATGAAAGTCTTGCTCGTATTGATCTTATGTTGACAACACTGAAAAAAGAAGGTAGTTGTGATCATGGTCATGCACAATTGAATGCATGGTCAATTCAACTTGAATCTATACAACTTTCATCACGATATATACATAATCCATCACTAAATGTTGAAATTCCTTATCAAGCATATCTACATTTTCGTCAAAGAACTCAAAATTTAAAATTTCCATCTGGTGTTATTGTACCTGGTTATGATAGTACTTGGTTATATTCATTTTCAAATTATTTAGGTCTTGGTCGTTGTGATAATTCAAATTCGAGTAATCTTCGAGATACTTGTCTAAATGTAACTATAGCTGATTTCGTCGATATTATTTCTGATATATCTTTAACTTCAAATTATCTTATTAATGGAAAACCTCTTATTTTTATTTATACATCTATAGGAGGAAATTTACTTACATCCGCTGAATGGTCATATATTTGGTCGAATGTTCGTCAACGTATTACGCTTGATTTTTATACAATTTGTACTACTACAAGTCTATTAAGTGTATTTGATGGTATAGCTCCTTGGATTGATTTAGTTGCTTGGTCAATGACAAATAATGCTCTTCCTGTATATAATCGAACAATAGCATGGTTGAAATTAGTATATGGTCCTATACTATCGTCGAATATATCATCAGGACGTATTATTATGGGTGGTTTAACTGTTGGTTTTAATGATTTTACTCAATCATGGGGTGCTTGTCAACAACGAACTATTCCTCGCCATTCTGATTTAATTCATGCTCAATTTGATTATTTTTCATCACATTCTATTCGACATTTATTTATTTATGCTTGGGATGATTGGACTGAAGGTAGTCAATTTGAACCAGATGTAACGAATGGAACACAGTCTTTACTTTTGTTACGACAATCTATTGCTTCTTTCTATGGTGAAGCACAGAGTACTGATGGTGATAATCAACTTGTTTCGAGATGGGGAAATTATCCTCAATTAAGAAATTGTACTCATATTAATGTTACATCAATACCTTCTATTGATATTTCATGTCCAACAACAACAAATCAAGCTAATTATCTTTATTCATATTCGATAATTCTTATACTTATTAAACTTAGTTATTATCTTTAAGACTGGAAGTGCGATGAACATAAACTTTATCGTCAATGTTTGATGAAATGGTAGTCCGGAATTTCGGCCCAAGAATTTTTCGTCCCAAACTTTCGGCCCGGTCCAAAATTCCGGTGATTTTTCGGTCCGGGCCGAAAATCCGAAAGAAATCTCGGTCCAGTTCTTAATTTAATTTAATTAATTAATTATTAATTAGTAAACTTCATAGTGCTGAGCACCATGACTTTTCAAAAAATCATTCTGCTCAGCACTATGCCATACTGCTTAGCAAGACGATTTACTGAATATTCGTACTGGTTAGCAAGATAATTTATTTAGTATTCATACTGCTCAGCACAATTTCATATTGCTCAGCACTATGTCATACCACTTAGCAAGATGATTTATTGAATATTCATAGTGCTCAGCACTACGGCATATTGCTCAACACTATGTCATACCACTTAGCAAGATGATTTATTGAATATTCATACTGCTCAGCACTGTGCCATACTGCTCAGTAGAATGATTTTTTGAAAAGTCATGGTGCTCAGCATTATGAAGTTTACTAATTAATAATTAATTAATTAAATTTATTTAAGAACTGGACCAAGATTCCTATCTGACTTTCGGTCTGGACCGAAAAATCACCGGAATTTTGGACCGGGCCGAAAAGTTTGGGACGAAAAATTCTTGGGCCGAAATTCATGTAACCCGATGAAATACTTCAGTTGAAATCAAAATTATTTGATTCTCATTATCTAATAGCATAAGTATGCAAATGCGAAACAGTTATTGCTTTACTTTTTCTTACTGTTCAAATATAAATTATCGAAAGAAAAAAAGTTTGTTGATTATTTCTTTTCATTTAATCATAAAATAACAGTCCATTTTTAAGTGCATTTATTGTTTATTTCCCGACGTTGTTTTTGTGTCTTAGCATCTATTGGTGAATAGAAAAGTTTGTGAGACTACAAATTATGTATAAGCTTTCCACATTTGTTAGCGGTTTGTCAAACGCGAAGGCTATTAATTAATTGTATATGTGATCTACATGTCACATAGTGTTCGTTTTATTATCTATCATGTATGTAAGTGAAACATTAGCTATAAACAGTAGAGAAAATATAAACAAATCTATGATAAACTGCAAGTCTAAATATTTATTAAATATTTTTTTGATAACATTATTTGATATGAAAATGGATTGATAAAATAAGATCTGTATAATATGATGAGCTTCAACTAAATAGAATAGTCTGACGCATTTTTCCTCAGCAAGATAGTATTTGACATTATTGAAGTTTTTCATTTGGGAGAAAAAAAAACTCTTATGCTCAATTTTTTGAAAAAAAAATACACTGAAATTCACAAACAATTTCATGCCAGCCGCTAAAGAAAAACCTGTATCTATCAGCTAACATACTGGTTACGATTCTACATTCTAGTAATTAATTATTCATATCGTAAACTCTTTAATGTTAACTGATTTATAAAATTATCAACAATCTTGTCAGACTCAAGTAAAATCATAAATCATTTTCGACTTGATGTTGCACTCTCGGCATCTTTGGTAAAGCTCGATAAACAACTATCAACTCAAGCTGCTGTTTGATAAATATTTCAAAATGTCGATCTGGAAATTCAATTCTTGCCATGTACTTTTATCTTATGAACTTTGAACGCTGAAATATGTAGAGATAACTTTGCTTGATATTCTAGGCATTCGAATTTTTTTTGTCAAATTTAAAATCAACGTTTTTTGTTTTACGCCTTTTTCAAGCTTCCAGTATCCATAGAATTTTTTTTGGCTGAACACAAGATTCAAACATATAGTGGATACGAAAACTATTCTACGAGGTTAATTTTTAGTCGTTTTCTATACTGCTTTAAGCATTAGAAGGAGTCAAAATAGACACTTGAAGGGAGAAAAGGGCTTTCTAACTAGAACATAAAGAAATAACAATCATTATTAGGTTTCCAAATATAAGGACCTTAGAAAATCTAAACTCTAATTTTTCAATGCTTGGAGCGCGTAAATATAATTTTGTTAATTTAGTTGAAAGTTGAAGATTCAATTCACGTATCTTCACTTAAAAAAAGTTATAGAGAACTCTGAGACCTCTCATTTTGTAGACAATTACTTCCTCTAGTATTCTATGTACTCTAAACGAAACTACATTGAGACACTCTTAGTGTTAAAAAAATTAGCCTTTTGGTTTTTCAGAGTTTCTGTCTTTGTGAACAAGATAATAATTCTTACTTTTTTATATTCCTGTTGGAAACAATTTCATTTACTCGAATCAGTATTTGGACTCGTTCTAGCCGTTACGATAGAGGAAAAGATTGAAAACAAATCTTGTTAAATAATAGTATTACCCGCTGCACGTGCTTATAATTAAGACTTATATATAAAATAAATGAATTAAGCGTGACGTTTGAATTCTAGATACATCTACTGTTCATTATAAGATGTATAGAAATATTAGTTAGAATAAAACTCAACACCTAAAATTTCTGCACATGTTTCATGATTTTGAAGCATTTTATTTCATATTTATATTGAATGTTGGATGGTGGAAGAAGAATTGACTTGGTTCTATAGACATTTAAGCCGTGTTGAAGGACAAATTGATAAAAATAAACCTATTGAAAAAAAAAGGTCGTACTTTTATAAACCTGATAAACAAGACAAAAATAATCGGTGCAAGTTTAAATATTTTTATTAACATCTATTACATAGCAGCGGTTTAAGTGAAAATTATAGGGTATGTAACTCTTATTATTAGTGGAATAATTAATCACATTTTTCTTTGATTATCTGCTGTGAAAAAGCATTTTGGTTTTCTTTCATTCTTAACTAATATAAGATTTGTTGATATAGGCTAGTCTGTTTTTAACCCTTTAATTAATCTTTTTAACATGGGCGTATCACTAATGATGGTATAAGGTGCTTAATCTTTAAAAAACATAAGAATGCCAATAGTAATGAAATCTAATATAAACTGCTGAAAATATTAAGATAAAGCATATGTTGACAAGAAGGTCACATAAAATAAAAGACTTTTGTTTTTGATTTATTTAGATCATTAGTATTTGCAATATCATCTTTCTCATTATGCTTTACGTGATCAGTCCTTTCCTATATGTTTTTCTAACAACAAGACGAGAATAAAAAGTCAAGCCAACGACAAATATCTTCAAATCCTCACTATGAAAGTTACCATTAGAGTAACATCGACAAAATGAGAAATATAAAAAATCTGACGTTTCATCTGTATGTTTATGCATCAAATATCTGATTCATATTTGAATATGGAAGTAATTTGATATTGATAATCGTTTCGGTATTTTTTCATATATAACTGCATACTTAAGTTTTTTAAAGAGAAGTATTTTTTAGTTATTTCATCACATCGAACATATAGCGACTATGAATGCTTATACTCTTGATCCACCTAAAACGGAATCTAAAACTGAATATGTACCAATATATCCAAGTGCACCAGTGCTACAACCTGCAGCAGTACCTGTAACTGCATCTGCACCTGTTTATGTGCCTCCTTCTTATCAATATTATCCATATCAACATTCTCCACCACGAACAGCCCAACCAAATATAAGCAAGATTCAGGACTGGTTAGCTTGGTCTATCATTAATTTAATCCTTGGGAGTCTAATACTTGGTATTCTTCCTCTCATATTTTCTCTTATTTGTCGAAGTAAAAAAGCAAAAAATGACATCAGTAGTGCTCGAAAAATGAGCACATTGGCATTAGTGTTTAATATCATAGTTACTACCGTGGGTATACTTGTGGTGACTGCTGGTATTATTTATTTACTTGTCTCTAGAAAAGTCATCCGATACCATTATTATTAAGACCAATACTTAACTATACAAAGTTATTTGTTCATATCGACACTTGTGACTCTTTCTTAGTTTTTTATAAGTTATATATATATAATCTATGGGCTTAGAATTATGATTACAAGATGTTAATTAAATGAAACCAGCACAAAACAAAATCTAATTCGTGCTAGGTCCTATGGATCTCTGTTCCAACTGAACATTTATGAGGGAAGCTCTCTATCTGTTCAATCAATCTTTAGTCTAGACTCTATGTATTATGTAGATCCAAATGAGCTATGAATATTCCGAAGAGTTCTTGTCTTTAATTTACTGCTACGAAGACACTGCACTTTCATGATATGTTGTGAAACAATATAGTATAAAAGGACTATTGAAGTATGTAGCGTAGAAATTAGCACCCATCTTCCCGTTTCTCCTACAGATCGAATATTAATAACAGCTCATTCAAATATATTAACTATTTCTTTATTGTATAACTGGAGAATTAAGTTTAAGGTGAGTGAAGAAATTTATCTCAAGATCAATAGAGTAACACAATCTTCCTGTGATTAGCAATAGTAGTCGTATCGTGTTTCATACTTTTATTCTACAAGGATTATGCTAACAACTTTTCTAAATAAATGCCATGATCTTTCAAGAATATCAGAACAACTAGTTTTTGATTTTCGAAATTGAAACTTTGCATAGAGATAGTTCTTGATAAAAATGATTTTTTGCGAATGTTTTAGGTCTTATAACTGTTTCTATCCTGAAATACAACTATAGTAGTAGCGTGTCTTTTGCATCACACATATAAACCAGCAGATTTGATGTTCGTATTTTAGGATAAAAGCAAATCAAAAGATCTGAAACTGCTTTCGTTAGGGTTTTTCTCTATGCAAAACGGTTCACATTAAAACCAAACATACTGTTACTAAAATTCACATGAATTAGAAAGCAAAATTGGTTTATAGCATGATTTTTATTTCTTATTAAAATGTTACTAATGACAACAAAATCTATGAATTTAGTCCGTTTTGACTGATTGTCTTTGTCTGAGTATCCGAATTCGACAAAATAGCGTCAAGTATTTGTATACATTGTTCAATTTCAGCCATTGTATTATAGTGTATTGCAGAAGGACGCACTACACCATCATTGATATCTAATTCTAAAGCAGCTAGTAATCGATAAGCATACATATGTTCTTTGCGACAAGCGAATTTTATGTTTATGAAGTTGTTTGACAATTTCATTTGAAGATAAACAAGATGACATAAAACTAATATAGTCGGTAATCGAGCTGTAGTTGATCGTGGACCAAAAATGGTAATATCAGGTTTTGTAGAAAGATACTGAAAAACTCATTCAACAATAGGACGTTCAAAATCAGTAAATATATTGTATGCTCGTTCATTAGTCTTTCTTATTGGTTGATCTTTAGGAGCATTGGTAACTCATTCAAAATAAGATTTAACACCTAAAATACGTGCACATGCTTCATGATTAAGACATCCAAGTTCATATTGATATGAAATATCCGATTGTGGGATAAAGAAATGATTAGATATAGCAGATATGTCAACAAGTTCTTGCCAAGCAGCATTTGAACCATATAAAACAGCTATATGAGAACTATAAACCTATTTACAAAAGAAACACTACAGATTATTTCAAATCAAATTTTTACTTTAATTCTCAAATACATAGATCATATAATGTTATGTATAACCGACTTTATAAATATTAAATGCATAAAAAGTCAACATTCAATTGACGAACATCAATAGCTCGATGAGATGCATAAGCTACACCGTCAACAATAACACGTGCACATGGACATTTTTGACGAACAAGTTTTACAATAGATTCAATATCAAGAATTTCACCAATAAGATTACTAACATATGGTATGGCAATAATTCGTGTACGTTCTGATAACAAAGCTGATAAATCATCAAGATTAACACGTTCATGTGCTTGTCATTCGATAATTTTTCATCGTAATTTTGTCCAAGCACCATAATTTGCTTCATGTACAATATTTGTCAAAATAATTTCATCATCTACGTTTGTAATTAGTTTATCAAATGCATGAAATAATGTATGAATTAATTGAATAGTACTTGAACTAAGAACAACTTCACCAATGCCATTACCATTCATCATTTAACGACAAAAATCATGAGCAGCTTTTACAATATGTGTTGCTTCATTTGATTGTTCATATCCAGCGTCAACTTGTACATATGATCTTGAATAATATGTTGAAGTAGAATTAATTACTGATGTAGGTACTTGACTACCACCTGCATTTTCCAAAAAAATTCCAGCCAGGATGTTTACGAAAAAAAGGAACTCGAGACGTAGCTCTTCTTGTTAGACGACTGAGATTTCTTTCAATAGAAATAAAAATGAAACAAGCTCATTATAAAAACTTGTTATGTTGTCTTACAATGTAAATAGATAAGATAGTTAAGTAAGAGAACAGCATTTATGTGAACATTGAACGTACTTACAAAAAGTAAGAGCATTGTTTATTAGTTCTCTTATAAAATGTTGAGAGTGCAAAATTCATGAATTCTGTATTATCAAGTTACTTTAGATTGTCTCAAACAGACTTTAATATTGTGATGTCTACTACCAAACATGTATGTAAAATTTCAGATAACAAATACAATATTATAAATACAATCGATGATTGCTTAATTATATAAGCAAAAGTTTATTGTCAACATTCAACAACAGCTTTTTCGTCTATTTTAATCCTTAGAAGAGAAAATCTTTTAATCAATTTAGGACACTATGAATATAAAAATCAATTGAATTTACAACTCATTTCCTAAAAAATAGATATACATTATTAAATATATCACTAATTTTACTAATGAGGAAATTTCTTTGGATATCAAAGCGCTTTTCGATCGAGACAATGTTCATTTGATGAGTACTAATGAGCAATAGAAAAATGCAGAATAATTTAGTTTTTCAGGCCTTTGTTCTCGAGATATAGAAATTTTACTGAGTTTTTCAACGCAAAGTTGTCATCATGCAAAAAATCGACTTTGAAGTTTTGACTGCAAACTTTGAATGAACAAAGTTCTTAATTATATTAGTTAATTTTGCAACTATTATTTCCTTTTTTGAGATGTAAACATATGAATAAAATTTGTTTTTACACATGCAAGAATTTCGAATATTCAATCAATCAAAATAAGAAATATTAGAAAAGTTGAAACTTGTTCAACGGACTATTCTCATTGAAAATTTTCTTCATGTAAATTTTGAAGTCGAAAGTCGATTTTCCACAGGTCTTTATTGAAAAACCCAGCAAGTTTTTGAGGTTTCAAGAGCGAAGGCTTTGAAAAGTAAACTGTTCTATACTTTTCTATTACTCATTAGTGCTCATCAAATGAAAATCGTTTTTACCAGAAAAAAAACGATTGGACATCTGACAATGTTACGTCGTAAGTTAAAAAGAAAACGAAATTCAGCAATCTACTAATATGTTTTCATCTAATGAAAACAATTCTATATTTACAAAATACATCGCAATTCATCAGAATAACATAAACATGGTTGAAGACCGTTTAATTAATAATGTGATAATGCAAAGAACATTTATTTATTTTCTTCGATTAGTTCCTTCGTTGTACTGACAAGAGTTCGTAATTCAGTAATCATGTGAGCTTTTGGCGAATTTAGCCCGTTCTCTATTAAATTGATTGCTCGTCCATAGTTTTGTAAAGCTTGACTATAATCATTTTGATTTAAATAACAATCAGCAATAGTTTTGTACATGGGAGCGAGCTCATCATGATCTGGTGATAAATATGTTAAGCTCACTTGAAGTGCTTGTTTATAATGTTCTAATGCTGAAGCATAGTCGCCTTTATGTAGATAGTTAGCACCAAGTCCATTATGGACACGTACAAGACGACGAGGTTGACTTAGAATAGAAGTGTCATTTATCATTTCTAGAAAGCATTGTTCAGCACGTCTATATTCTCCCATATCCATAAGTAGTTTACCTAAATGTGAAAGTGGATTTTCATGTAGTTCACTAGTCCGAAATGGTTTTAAGATGTGCTCCAGCTGTGGATCATCATGTCTAATTAATACTAATGTTACGAACCAGATTATTAATGAACTCTCTGTAAATTGTTTAATTGATTCGATTCGAAAAACAGTACCCGCACTAAAACAGATCTCATAATTTTTCGTCGAATTGCCTGTAAGTAAAGCAAATGGAGCTTCTTCATTAAATATCATATGGTCAATATGTATTTCGAAAACGATTCCAATCATATTTTGACGTGTTGTAAGTCGACGATGAATAAAATCGATAGCATTTTCCTTATTTATAGTAGTTACAAGAAAATTAGAGAATGATAAAAGACCATCATAACTATTCTTGATTAATGCATCAAATTCTTCAGTCAACATAGTTTTACCACGATACACAATAGAGATATTTTTCATTAGTAACTCATTCTCTTCATATAAACGTACTAGTTGCACATTAAGATGTTTGATAAAGAAGCCAAGTTTGTAAAGAATATCAATTTCACGTGTACGTTCTACACGATTTAGTATTTTCGAAATAAAACATGATCTTTTTAACCAACCAAGTGCTAAATTTGGGCGATAATATTTTGCAAATTCTTCAATAAGATGTAATTGTTCAGGATTATTTGTATAATGTTTTCGAGAAAAATCTATAAATACATCTTTAGCAACACTTTCAAATTTTAGACGAGCTATTATTTCATTTGTAAGTTGTATAAAAACAAATGATGCTTGTTCTTTAGTTAAAGTCATAGATGACTTCATATCATGCATTGAATTTGATATAACAGAAAAATATATTAAATCTAATTCACATAATTCAATATCATATTGTAATTGTTTACAAAGATTATTAATATCATGAAAAGTATTATTTGATAAAGTACAATTTCGATCATCGCAAGAAAATGAATCAAATATATAGACTTTTTCAAGTTGTGGTAAATCATGAATATATTGAACAGATTGATATGTTACAGATATAATAAGAAAAACTTTTTCATCTTGAATATCTCTTATATAATTAATACATGTATCAGGATTAGTAAATATTTGAAATCCATAAATGAGACGACTCAATTGTTTTTTTTCATTTTCAAATTTATTTGAAGGATCATCAAAAAGCCAAATAATAATACAATTTTCAATAATACGCGTGGATTTAGGATTGATTGACACGGTAGTCGAAACTGGTATTTCATTGAATGAAAGGTTCGTTGGTAATACAACAGATGCACAACATGTCGAACATGACCCACCCATTTAAGAATAGTATCAATGAGAAATTATTCTAAAAGAATAAACAATTTTCAAAAAAACATGCGATGCATTTAAATTTAACTGTAAAAGCAAACACGAATCAATAATTCTTTTTCTTTATAAGTAAAAGTCGAATTTAATGCATTATAGAATATTAATTGTTAAATACGTTACGTAGTATAATAATTATATGGTGATATTCGAAAAAAACATGATGAAATGAACTCTATGCACACTTACTTTTAATGAAAGTCTAGATGAAATTATAAAGATATGCACTTTTAACAATATAATGAAACATGTTAGATGTCAGGAAGTTCTCATTAATGTTTTCTTTTTCATAATATTGACGTCATATCAGCTTGAGTGAAGAGAGACTCTTTTAACATGCATACTCGTATATTAAAAAGATCAAGGAACACTTAAATTGGAATCACTAAACTAGCATGTCATTTTTCTGAAATTAGCACGTTGCTATTTTTTTACCGATGTTAATTTAATTAATGTGACCGACAAAAGGCAAAAAAAATTTATAGCTAAAAAATTGTACAAAATAACAAAAACTGTTGTATGATACTTACGTGATGTAATTGAAATAGAAATATATTTGAATTCGTTTTCTATTTTTGGCTTCCACCTTGATAACTCTAAAAAACTTTTCTAACGGTATGTATTTATATTTTTTCACAAAATAATGAACAAAAATATGTTTAAAAAGTAAAGGATGAAACATGCATATAGAAACGATAAAAATCATGCCATAAATCCACATTGATTGCATGCAACAACATCTGTAACAAAGATTTGTGAGTCGCAATTTTACACTACTTTGTGGTGGAATAAATTGGTCCTATAGTTTTTGGCCATGGAGGGGGGGGGGGGGGGGGGGGGATGACACCCCAAGATTTGACGGTTTCGCTGATTCCTTCAGCAAACATTTCTTTTAGGAATACTGCTAAATTTATGAAAATAAAGAATTGTCACTGGTTTTTTTGTATTTTGAAAAAAAAAGTCTATTTATATTCTATTTATTTTAGTTGACGTCATGGAAATGAAAGAATGGTTATGACTTTTACCCAGTGTTTGCTTTAATGATAATAAACCTCGCTGTTAAATAAGGATATTCCTTTTAGTCTAATTGATTTTTGACATCTGCTCGAATACCAAGCGGTGTATAGTTGGAATTCCACAAAGAGTCATGTCATTTCTCAATTCTAACATATGAGGCTTACATTCAGGATGCAAAATATAAAATCTATTTATTCTCGTAAATAATTTTGTTGAATCTTGTACGAACGTATTTTAGCGGTCTATATAGCTGAGTTTTACAAAGGTTTGTCGTTGTGACTGTATACGAAGTAATAGAATCATCTAGGAACAAATAAGAAGCTAAAATGACCCCGAATATGGTTTCACGTACGGATGTAGTAAGCGAGAATGTTTTTTTTTTGTTGCGTAAATCATCATCTTTCTTGATATACAAACTCGAGGTATATGATCGTAATTTAGAGACAAGAAGATCGTCATATTTCTCAGAAATAGTCGTTTAATATCATACATATTTTATCCAAGTGCTTAGAAAATCTTTAAAGATGCCTGTCTTTCAAAAAAAAAATTCTTCAGACAAGATGGAACAATGGTTAAATGATTTTATAACTATTGCATGAAGTTTTGATATGTAATGTAATCTAAAATACATTGAAATGATTAATATTTGATTATGTAAGCAACTTGGTATTTTGAATACACAGATTAGAGAAATATGCACTATGCCAAAATTCAACCTATACTAAGAAAAAAAAGCTGACAGAATAACATGCTTTGCATTTACTATAGAATTCTTAGTAATTATCTGATAACATTAATAAATATGAGAAAATAACAGTCTACTATTTTATCATTCTTTTCATTTATGTATATGAAATGCTCTAAGTCAAAAACAATATCAATCTAGCTTTTATTGTATTTACCTTCTATGCTTTATAAAAATATATTAGAAGTATTCTTTTTTTTTTCCTATGTAAATAAACTTTTTTAATGACGTTAACGTTGAGTTATTCTTAAATATAAAACTTGTTAAACATTAATTAAAAAAAACTCACTTATAGTGTATTTAATATCTATAATGTTCTTTTTAGATATAAGTTTTTCTTATATTAAAAATATATCGACGGTTAAAGCCTGAATAGTTTATTAAATGTGAATAATTAAAGATGCATTGGAAACTTTGTTGATGTATGCTCGCATAAAATATGCTTTTTTTTATCTTCTTATATAACGAGTCGTTTTTTGATTATGTTGAAACAAGAAGCGCATTATGATAGTAAAAGAAAGCCTTTTAGAAAAATATTTGCAAGATTCTTTTTTTCAACGTCAAATACAATAGAACTAATTGCACTGTAAACTAAGGATTTACGGAACATTTAGAATTATCAATATGCAACATTTAATAATAAAGACAGTACTGATTAAAGTGTAGAGAAAATTTCAAACTTTGTTTGTCCTGTTAATTGTATCTTGATTACAGACCATCGCTGACATTTTTATGTCCAATGATTATGAACACAGAAAGAACTCAATTTTCATTCTTTTTTAATCCTAAACTGTCTTAAAATTCTGATTAGTCTATTTAAAAATTCTATGTGAAAGTAATTATGTGTATATATATTTGTCTAATATATTCGAGAAACATGCAAAAAAGAATAATTTTAAAACTTTCAATTATTAAGTATAATCTAGACTAAATTATTGTTCTTCTGAAGTACTTTATCGTTAACTAAAATACTGACATTCTTTTTTTTGATTAATATATTTAATGAATTGTTTTGTTTAGTTGTCAATGTCAACAAATGTAAAGCTTAGAAATGCAAATTATTTGTCATTTCCGTATAAAATAGTACATAATTTTCAAAATGATTAAAATTCTTTTTTTTTATTTTATCTACAAAACATTCATTGATACTTCGATATTGCTGTATAAAAATCAAGTGAATTGAAACTAATTTCTTAATTATGAAAGTATTTTATGAAATAAAATATCGACATAAATAAATGAGAATACTAATTAAATGTTTATATGTATGTTTTTTCTCAAATTTTTGTCTATGCCAGATTAAACAACGCATTAAAAATAACATCGCATTATCAATATGTTTTTTTCCATGGTAAAATAATCAGCATATAGGATTGAAACAGATTATATAGAGACTAAAAATAGTTTTGATTAAGATTAATTTATGATTGCAATTCTATTCATAGAAAAAATCTTGTAAACTGAAAAACAAAAAAAAAAATTTCTACTCCATGTCAGTTTTCTAGAGCACATTCAACAGATGTTTTTTTTTTCATGCATACGATACAATATGCATGAGGTTCTAGATGCGTAAATAGTTTTATTCAATAACGAGTATTGTTAGCAGCGAGAGATTGTTAAATAGGAAGATTTTTTTATTTTATCTGCATCACTTTTTATTTGTTGTGTAGTTAATTTACTGAATCATGTTTGTATTTAGAGAAAAAAGGACACTTGAAGATCATATTCAATCATCCACTAGTTTCACATTACTCTGAAATTGAGATGACAGATACTATAGAATGTATTTCTATCATAAGTAAATTTCCAAGTAAGTTTTCATATGAAAATAATTATAGAAAAAAAGTAAAAAAAAAACAATTATTATTACCTTTTGCATATTCTAGACAACAGTACCTTTATATAATAACGAAATAAGTGCAGAATAATGATACTTTCAAACCTTAAAATGACAGATAAAAGAAGACATCAAACAACTACTTATAAGTCGTACTTATATGCATCCTTTTTCGATTTTGATGTTCTATTTTTTTTTTATAAAATAAGATCGGAAAGGCTCTGAGTACTTCTTTTGTCAGTATCAGAAACCTGGCAAATGAAAAGATTTTTAAAAAATGTGAAGTACGGAGCAACGCCAAGACTTTATTACCAAGATTCTATTTTAATCTTGGAGAAGGAAAAAAAACAAATTCTAATATTCTATAATAGTTAAATTGGCAAAATCTGTTTGTCATTTTTGTCAATAGATTATTTCAACGAGCAGCAGCAAATCGAATATAATCAATAGCAGCTTTAATATTATTTTTTTTTTTGTATAAAATCAATTCGAAATTGATGTATAATGCCCTTCCATTTCAAGTGATTTGACAAATCTAATATATATTCTTTTCATTTTTTGCCATGTTTCATTTGTACTAAAATACTATCATCATCGATAAATAATTCTTCGTTGTTTATACTCCAAAATAATTGAAAATACTGATCAGATATATTATGATTCCTCATTTTGATAATTATTTTCTTTACTATCGATGTATCAATCATAAGTATGGGACTTAATAATTGAAGATTATTACTGATTGATGATAAAAACTATATTCCATTCCATGAACTATTCGTATATTGACGTAAATCAGATATTTGTTTCCATCCTTCTGCATCACCATCACAATTAAATTCATAAGATTTTGGATTTTGTGCAGTATATTGTTTTAAATTAAGGTTTCCTATTTCAATTGTTCCATTATTTAAACCCGTTACTTCTCAACCAATATTCATTCCTCTAACAAAATATTTATTCAGGTCATTTGAATTTAAAAACCACGTTCGACAGCTGCTTGAAGTCATAATCAAACCAATGGTATCATATCGCTAGAAACATGTACAATACGTTCAGAATGAACAGAAATATTAGCAAAATTTGAAAAAGCTGGTGAATATATTAATGAACCAGTACCTATATCACCATTAACATATAACGAACTCATAAGAACACGATCATCATATAAACAAATACCTAACCAAAAATATTTACCATATTCTGGATCTCCTTGTATTAGATTTTGAATCGTCATATAAAGTGGAAAAATGCCACCATGAAGATTAGGATCATAATCTGGTTGAATATGTTGATTCATATATAAAAGTTGAACATCTAAATTTCATCGTAATTCATGAATTTGACTCAATGGTACAGAACCACCTGTTATTCCAATATCTTGCTGCATAAGAAGATGTATCCATGGTGCATCAAGTGGTTCATATTGACCATCATATTCATGATATCCATTAACGACCATTTGTAAACGACCATCCTGAAAAATTATAAAACGTTTATCTACTGTTGACCATTGCATACCTTTACTTTTTTCATCCTCAATTAAAGTACCATTAGTGGATAAATTTGAATGACTAGCCCATTGTGCTATTTGCCAAGATGCACTCTTATTCAGTGTAGTAGAAAATGGATTATATATACGGTATCGAGGTGCTTTGACACATTCAGTTGGACTTGATGAACAAGCTGGAATAACACTAAAATATTGACTATAATTTACATCAGAGAAAAGTTCGATTCCTTGAAAATACACTTGACTTGCTGTTGTATACGTAATTAAAGTTAAAATTAAAAGAAACATTTTACATTAAAACAAAACATCGAAAGACGTAAACTTACAATTTTTAACATAAATAAGACAAGATGGTATCGTTCTCATTCAATTCATTTCTGATGGGAAAATACAACTTCTGATATATTATTTTAAAACGATTAGAAAATTTTGTTTTTATTTATTAAAAAAAAGTAAAGAAAAGGACAATACTCCATTTAAAAAAAATAAAAATTTCACTACCATACAATACATTTTTCTACTCGACTATTTCCCTGACCTGGTCGACAATTAAATACTCGATCGAATTCAACAAAATTCGATGTTGGACCGATAACTCTTTAAAAGCAAATAAATTTAGTTTTTATAAAATTCAAAACTATGGAATAAATTATTTACCTTAACGGTCCTAATGAATGAACATCTGATAAAACACGATTTCGTGCATATGAATCAGTCATTTTTGAACACCATGTATGAGCATAATTAATAAAAAACATTTGTTCAGGTGTATATTTTGAAAGGCCTGGAAGTTTTTTATCAACATTTGGATTGGCTTTCGTCCATTTTTGATAAGCCTATAATATACACATATAATTTTTTTCAAGTATTATACAATGTTACTCACGAAAAATGCTTCGCGTAATCCACCATTATCAGCAATATCTTCACCTTGTGTTTGATTCCCATTTGCCTAGAGAATAAAATATCAAATAAAAAAAAACAAAATAATTAAAGACTAAAAATTATAACCTTCATATCAGTCTGTGGTACAGTATAATTACTATACTGATTAACAATACATGTTTTACGATTATTAAATTCTTGTATTGTTGCATCCGTCCACCATGGAATTCGATTTCCATCCTTATCAAATTGACGACCACTATTATCAAATCCATGAGTAATCTCATGTCCAATAACTACTCCAATAGCTAAATGATACATAATTATTGAAAATTTTGAACATTTTAATTAATTTAAGTAAATAATCAATGATCTGAATGTTAAAATTATTAAATATGAATACTTACCACCATAATTAAGATATCTAAAAGATTTAAATATGATTCAAAATGTATAGTAAATCATGATTTTTACTTTGGTGCATCTTTATCAAAAAATGGCATTTGTAGAATACCAGCTGGAAATGCTAAACATAGGAAAGAAAAAAAAATAAAATGTGATAGAAGTGAAAATAAAAGCATACTTATTTGATTTTTTGATGGTGCATAAAACGCATTGACAACAGTAGGTGCACTAAAACCCCATGCTTTACGATCCACTGGTTTTCGAAGAATTTGAAAGTCTGTTTTCGCTTTTATTTGAAGCAATTTTAAAACATTACTGATGTACGAGGAATTGAATATGTACTGAATAATACCACAACAAACAATGATAGATAAAAAAAAAATGCACGAGAAAATTTTTTTAAATCAAATAAAACCCTTCAATAGATTGGAATGTTAGTGAAATAATTAGTTTTATCAAGATCATTTTTATGAATAATACGAATTTACAAGATATTACTCACCTCCGCATATTCTGTTTCAAGTTGCGTCACATTATCACTAGCCAAATAATCCGGATATCCAATTTTTTCATCAATAGCTTGAGCCTATCAATCAAATCTCATTTGAATTTTGAGTGTTCCTTTTTCATCAATCTTACTTTTTCTATTGCTCTATTCTTTGACGTTTCATCCATCCACGTCGTTTGCTCAAGCATATTAATAAATGCTTTTCGAATATTACCAATCATTTCAAAAGACTTTGAATTTAAAAAGAAAAGTGAAAATAAATAAACAAACAATAGAGATGTTGTTATCTTACTTGATTTCGAGCATTATCATCAAAATATTTTTTAATATAAAGTTTTGAAACAGCAAATCCCATATTACCATTAACATAATTTCCACAAATAATCTTACGCGATTGTTCAGCTGTCGTACCTCGAAATACATGTTGAAAATTTTCTTTTATACTTCGAAATCGTTTTGGCATATTATCAACTCGATGCATTAGAAAACGCCATATGACATAATTTTGTAATATACGTGATGAAGTTCCATCAATAATTGATGAAACATTATACAAATATTCAAGTTCACCAACAGTTACAATATCATCATTAACTATGTTTACTTCACTCGATAAATATGCCGATTTTAAATAATTAGTGAAATCAAACTATACAAATAAAAAATATAACAGAAACAAACCATGAAACTAAAAACTAACACTAGTATTTAATAATCGTGTAAGATTGCCAACAGTCGTACGAACTGTTGCATTTGGTCGATTTCGTCGTTCATCAGTTGTCCAATAATGCTATATAAAATAGAATAAATAAACATTTGAAAAATAAATTGCAGTACTTTAGCAATTTCTTTTTCAAAATCAAAGATATCTTTAACATCTTTGTCAATCATTGATGTATCATTTGTTAAAGCTGTTGCTAAATCATATATAAATTGTTTATAAGCAGTAGTAATTTTTGATTCATTAGAATAATATTGACGTTGGCCTAAGCCAAGATCACTTTGACCAATCTATCATAATCAAGAGAAAATTACATAAAGAAATCTCTTTTTACGTACTGCAATATCATATTCTTGGGAATTTTTTTCATCGATTGATGTACCTATACCAAATATAATATCATTATTGTATTGTCGTAATTTAAGTAAAAGATTCAATAAATTAAATGTAGAATTATTCCATGATGAACCTTGTAATATAGGCCAACCACCTAATTGTTTATTAACTAATGAAAGAATTAAATCAATGCCTTCATCTTCAATATTTTGTTCATTAATACATGAATGATATAATATACGAGCATTTGTAATAGCTTTAGGTTCATTTGTATCATTACGAGGTGATGGTGTTAATAGATCTGTATATAAACAATATTTATTTGTAAATTAGTATAGATTTAATCTTACCGACAACATTGTAGTCTAATTGTGTTCGTAATAAATTGAATGTACTTATGGCATCAGCTAGAAAGAATATTTTTAAAATTTGCCAATTATCTACAATATTTTTCTGTTACCATCATCAGGTATTCGAGAATTTTTAATCCATGTACCACAGACAAAATTATAAAAGTCTTCGCATGGTTCAACTGTTTCATCCATACTTTCAATTAAATAATTAGCTAAAATGTAAAGTTCATGACAATGCACTTTATTTTTTGAAGAAATTCACCTGCTTTAACACAATATGGAGTTGTACATAGTTCATTATTCACTAAAATACAAACAATTGTTTTCTCATTGTATGATTCTTGATATAAAATAACAAAGAATGATACTATTGTTTTCTGTTGTTTTGCTTTTCATAGCTATTATAACAGCTAATACAGCTGTAGAAATAGCAAGAAGTCCAACAAGAATACCAAGCAATATAAAAATTTTTTTTGAACGAGATTGAGAAGTTTGTGAATTTTCAAACAGACTAGAAAATTAGATTTAGTTATGCATTGTTGCTTATTTCTGATCCATACTTGAGACTTTTTAACGTTCCATCACTGAATTGAGCAGCCATATTTGCAATTCAAAGTCGACAATCTGAAATAATAACTCCTCAGAAGTTGAAAAACATAAGATTTCAACTAAAAAACTGAAATATGCTAACAAACTCACTAATTCTTATCTTACTAGTCTTCTCAAAAATATCATTGGAGAGTGATGTGGCCATGCGCACGAGTACTGATAAGATAAAACCAAAAGATTTACATGACGCATATTGTTTCAAATCAAAAATGAAGAGCATAAAGTTTGTTTACTCATGTAGAGATCAAGACCATTGTCAGAGGGATTTTAAGTATAATAATGATCAAATAAACCAAACTATAAGTAAAGATACTTATTTAGTATTGTGTTTTATATAGAGAGCTTCAGGCCCACAAAAATGTGGATCTGCACCCATGAAAAGCTAAATTTCTGCATTCAAACTTGACAGGACCATATCCGAATTTTTTTTCCCATCAATATCCAGCAGTTTCAGATTGCATACCAAGTAGAATTCAGAATTTTCTATACTGATGTATTTTTTTTGCATTCTTAATTGCTAGTTAAATAAAAATGATCAATAGTGATATAGATCTGATTCTTTTTATATTCTAAAATCTAATTAGACTTTAAAAGCGTAAGCAGAATTATAACAGAATTGTATTTGTAACAAATTATATGAATGGTCATTATCAAAATATGTATTAACTATTACTTTATGTTCCTAAATGCGTTCTAGTTTTCAGGAACGAAATTACGTTCCATAAAGTCTATGTTTTGAGGTTTCTGCTTTTGAAGGTATGTGTAATATGCTGTCGTGGGTGTTGGTATGGGGGATTTGGGTAGATGTTGGTGCGTACCTGCTCTTCACTGAAATACTCAGACTCATGAAATTTGTGCGCTATTTTTCAATGTTTTAACAAGGGTAAAACTATCGAAAATGACAATAAAGTCATAACCGCCTGCTAAAGATATATTCAATATTACCAATTTGAGAATGTCAAAGGATTAGTTTTCGTCATCATGAGAAGAATGAAAGGTGTAAATTCCATTTAATCTTGAAGAGGTTCAGGGCTCTTCGTGAAGAATCAGTGACTGAAACGAATAAAAAAAACTTCTAGACAACGTCAATGCACTTAAGCTAGGATAGGTGAGTATGGATAAAGGTATATGCATGACTCTAAACCTTGAATTGCTTTGCAACTTCAACACTAACAATCTGTCGAATAGACTAATGCGTGTCTTGAATCATACGATTCTTTATTATGAAAGAAAAAGAATAAGCAACACAATATATTTCGTCAAAGCACTTGAACAATTTCAAGAATAAATAATAGAAAATTATCGTGGCACAAATGATAGTTTCAAATCGTGAGAAAAAAATGTCAGCATTCTTCATGGATCTTCTCGTAAAGTTCTTTATAATTGTCTGTATTCAGATTATACCCATCATCGATGTGTATCGGATCTGTGGTCCTGAAGTCACCTCCCCACCGTAATCCTTCACTCTTAA